CAATTGTAGTTTGCGCGACTAATGAATCACAAACAAATAAACTTGAAATATCATCGGCAGAACTTGCTATTATAGATATCTCTGTACCCATTGATAAGATGAATATCAGTAATACTGTAGAAAATCCTTTCAATGATTTGAGGCTTGTTAACATTTTTAAATTTCAAGATTGTATAATCAATAGTGGCGTTCAATTAGCAAGCATTACAGGAGTGAATTCTAAAACAAAAATTAAAGAACTAACAGATGGAATCATTTGATAGAATAGACGATAACCAAGATATTATAACTCAGATTAAAAATAATTTTGATGTTCAAGAGGCTGTTGTTAGAAATTTGACATTTGGAAGTAATATTCCAGTTATTTTGGTTCAATTCAAAAGCTTGGATAATTTAGAAAAGCATTGGAAAGAGCTTAATAGTATGGTAACTGCTGAATACCTTATTAAATTGGACAACGATTTTTCCAAATGGAATTCTTATATCTTTTTTGTTACAGAAGAGATTCCAAAACCTCTAAAATATGAAATTGAAAATAATAAATTTAGCACAAGGAAAATTGTTATTGAAATGAAAACTCCGTTAATTAATGATGATGTAATCAATAATATTGTTTCAGAACACATTGTAAATGATGATATTCAGTTCGAAGTACAAACGATAGATGTTGGTGAATTTTCTAAAAATGATTTGGTAGGTAAAATTTTTGATGATTTCATAAAGGATAATCCCAAAAAAACTGATGATAATACTATAGAACTATTAACCAAAATTGAAACAGGATTAGACAATGAAAATTAAAAAAGTAGAGATTCAGGCTTTCAGGGCTTATGATAAAGCAGAGAACAGTACATTTGATTTTGGAATCAATGATGGTAATTATGCTGATTTTGTATCATTATATGCCCCCAATGGGTTCGGTAAAACGTCCTTCTATGATGCTGTAGAATATAGCTATACACATAATATAGATAGATTACTAAAAAATAAAAACAAGGATGTTGCAAAATCCGAAAAGAACATTAACAAAAGTGAAAAGCAATATATATTAAGAAATCGTCTTTCTGATGCAAATTTAGAAAGCTATGTTAAACTTACGACCACCTCTGATGTTTTTAATAAGAAA